GGCATTCCTCTGCATGTATTGGTGGCCACAATAGCGGCAAATTGGATGCCTTTTGTCGGTCATATCAAAATGAATCCAAACGTTGCGTTTGGACGTTGGTTTGACGGCAGTCACCTCTTTGGGCTCACTCTTTGTAAACGTATTGACCTTAGAGTCCGACGTCTGGCAATTCATGAGATAATATTGAGTGCATTCGCCGCGGATCTGCTCTCTGATGTTCGCTGGTATTTGTTTGCAGAGGAAGACAATGTGTTTGCGGCCTTTTGTGGCATTTTTGTGTGAATAGCGGTGACCGCAATACAAACACGAAGCCGTGAAACCGGTGGGTCCGGTGTTGGTCACCGAAAAGTGTCGCCAAATGTCTACTTTGGACTTTTGGCGCCATATGTTCTCGAGATCTCTGATCTCTTGCGGACACTTATCGCACGACTCGACGATATGGAGGCGCGACTGGAATGCGTTCAATGTCTTCGACCGGAACTCTTTCTCACAGAAATTACATTTAATCACTTTGTAGTCCGGATTTTCCNGACTTTTGGCGCCATATGTTCTCGAGATCTCTGATCTCTTGCGGACACTTATCGCACGACTCGACGATATGGAGGCGCGACTGGAATGCGTTCAATGTCTTCGACCGGAACTCTTTCTCACAGAAATTACATTTAATCACTTTGTAGTCCGGATTTTCCACCACTTGGAAGTACTTCCAAATTGTGGACACGAGCTTCGGATAGTTGGCCACTGGTCTACGGGTTGTCGCGGCTCTCGACCCTTCAATTAAAACAAATTTTAGACTTGAAATAATACATTAATTAGAGAAGTGTTAAAATACCCGATCGTTTGTTACATAAAACAGATTTCTTAACCACCGGATTCAGTTTACTAACATTGTAAACAGCGGTGACAACCCGGCTAAGTAATGACTGGTAGTTTAATAGACAGTCAAGACGGTGAAGAAGAAGCGACAGCAGCTTCGCTTACCTCACGGAGAATAACTACCTCTCTATTCTCTCCATCAGCCGAAGGCTTTCCTCCAGATATCGGTTAATATTAATGAGGGCTTCGTTTTTCTTAAGGCAGTGACGGAGTCGTGCGCTTAAGCGCCGGTTTTCACCCATCAATGCCTTCATTTTGGGATCCATCGAGTCTTCGACCACATCCTCGTCGATGTCATCGCTCATAGCGTGTCGTATATTCTTGTTGTTAAGCGCAGCCAAACGTTTCGGTCGTTTGCTCTCCGATTCCATCACTTTGTAAAAAGACTGACAAAACAAATCAATAAAGTATTGCTGAAGACATGAGACAATGGCATACAGTTTGAGACGGTTTGTAACCATCAGTTGCGGCGCCCGAACCGGAGTCTAAGCCGTGTTTGAGAGATTCGGGAACTGCTGAACAGCTGTCCGTCAGGTGTTGTCTCAATTTGGTTGCATTCTTGGCAGTGGACGGACCCATCACTCGGTGACAGTGACAGCACCTCATTATCTGCTCGCCAGTAGTCGTGTCCACCACTTCTGTGCGGAAGTGCTGCCAAATATCGCTCTTCGTAATTTGGTTGCATTCTTGGCAGTGGACGGACCCATCACTCGGTGACAGTGACAGCACCTCATTATCTGCTCGCCAGTAGTCGTGTCCACCACTTCTGTGCGGAAGTGCTGCCAAATATCGCTCTTCGGTTTGCGTCTGAGTCTCGGCTCGGGTTTGGTGTCCGCCGTCGCCGACACCTCTCCTCCGATGTCCGCCATTCGTGTCCTCTGTCTTGGGATGTCTTGGGATGTGATTTGATTTGATTGTTGTGTCAAATAAAGGATAAAAACATTAAAATGTAAAATACTTTGCGAATCAAATCATAACACAATATAAACACCACTTTTTGCCCATTATTTGTAAACAGAAACACATTTACATAAATAACGTGTCATTCAATGCATTCAATAGTAAAGTACGGCTGAAGTAATTGGCGGTAAATTCAATGCTCCCATAGTTTGGGACACTTTTTGGTCAGTATTTGTAGATTGAATTAGTTGTCAATTGAGGTCAATTAGACCATGCTAGTTTATTACATTGTATTATTACATGGTATGACCATTGTATGACCATGGTGCTAAGGTAACATTAATAGCATGTAATAATTGCTGCCAAATGTCTCGCGATTTGCAAGAATTCAAATTCAAATTTAAACTTCACTCCAAATTCGGGACAATTTGTGGGAAAGTTTGAAACAATCGATTCAATTGCGAACCAAACACTCAGTTAAGACAATCCGCGAAGACATCGGATCTGATCGACCACTGCAATGGGTATTGATGTGAGACTCATATCGACGGATGGGAACGGACTTCGGGTGCCGTTGGAAGTGAAGTGTTGTTTCTGTTGGCAATTACTGGACGACGGGATCTCACTGTCCGGTTGCGGACACAACGCCTGCTATCAGTGTATGCGAAGAGAGGCCAGACGTCAGGCGCCGCCCTTCGCCGCCGTCTGTCCGCTCGACAGTCAGCCCTTCAACGCCTCCGAGTGTCGATACCTGTGCCGAGGAGTGACCGCTTGGCTCAGAGACTGTCGGGTGAAGTGTCGCTGGTTTGACGGCCATCGATGCACCGCAACCCGTCTCGCCCTTCACAACGTCACCCGACACGAGGGCCTCTGTCCCGCCAGACAGCCAATCAAATCGGGCCGTAAATCGCGCTCAAGACGTCAATTGGGAACCGGAGGCCACACTGACGGCGACGCTGGCAGTGGTGGCCCACGAATGGCCAATAAGTTCCGTCAGACAGAGTCATCGGCGAACGCGATGTTGAGAAGCGACCAGAAATTTACAGATGAAGTCGAAACCACTTCTTCGACCGCTGCGATGGATAATCGGATGCCCACAGACTCGGCCCCAGCCGTACGCCCGACCCTCAAGTATAACACAAAACTGATTGAGGAGTGGATCAGAAAGATGACGGTCACCGACGATAGCGCCTCCCGTCCCGACACTAATAGCGCCGAAATTGTTGACCAAAAGCCTTCAGCCGTGGAGACAATGGATGACAAAATTGGTGTCAAATCTATCGGCGATTAAAGCGATCACAAAATGATTATCAAATTGTTTTGCATTTGTTTTGTTTAGATTTAATTGTGTTTTGTTTTACTGTTTAAAACTATAGCTTAAAATTCTTGCCATTTGTTTGTTTTATTTCTTCATTTAAATTATTTCCAACATTTATAAATATTTTTCATTCATTTAATAATTATTACAAATAAAACACATTTACATTTATCGCACAATTTGTTTAAAATGTCAAAAACTTTTAGTTTAGAAAAATCATACAATTTTTATGTGAAATAAATTTATTATTTAAAACAGAAAAGGAAGAAAATTTTTGAATAAATTTCATATAAATAATAGTAAATAATATATAATTTAAGACGAATTAACAAAAACAGAGAAAAAATAAACTAAACATAAATTCAAATAAAAAGGGAAAAAGTTTTCAAACATTTAGTATTAAATACAAAACAAAGAAATAGAGAAGAAGTGCGAAACTGAGCGATGGATTAGTGCCCGTATTCTTCTTGGGATCAGTGGCCGGCTTATCTCCATCAGGTTTGGCCGCATCCCCACCACTCGGATTTGCGGACTCTGTTTTACCATCGGCTGCACCGTCTGATCGCGTCGCTCCTCCACTGCCGCCACTCTTTGCACCACCACTTCCTTTACCGCCGCCAGCATTACAGCCAAACAGATCCGCGTTTTGCTTCCACTCTTTGCAGTCCTTTTCGCCGACGACCGGCCGATAGCAGTACTGATCGCGTCTGAAGAGATAGAGATTGTATTTGACTGCGGGATTGAGCGATGGGTACGGGAAAGAGGCCGTCAGGTCTGCCGGAAAGCTCTCGTTATTCCTGCCGCCGATGTAGCCGTCTTTGTTGCCGTCAACAGACGGGATGTCTTTCTTGGAGCGGTAGTAATAGACGCGAACGCCCTTAAAGGCGACGAACAGAGGGTATCCCTTTTTGTCGAGATCGCCGTCATTGTAGACAGTGTTGAATCCCTCGGCGATGCCGGGAAAGTCGGCGCCCAGCGCTCCGCCACCGATCTGTGTGTAACTCTTATCCCAACTCCAGTAAAAGGATTGCGTGAACCGATAGGTGCGGCCGTCCGTCGGTCCGGAGACGACCGTCGAAACGGACACTTTGTTAGTGACGGGAGCCATATATTTGCGCCATTTGTCCGTCACTTTGAAGGGTCCCTTCACTTGGGGGTGGGGGTCCGGAAGGCCTATCAGTTCCCAGTAATGGTTGTCGCGGAAGACGTAGAAGTGGTTGTCGGCCGTGCGGTCGGCGGAAGTGATCTCAACGTTGTCGCACAGATTCACCGGTTTCTCGGGCGCCGTGTAGTCCTTGTACTCGGAGTAGTCGTAGTGTTGGCCACACATCACCTCCGAGACCAACACCACCGCCAATACCCAAACAATCATTGCCTTCGCACTCATTGTGGGCGCAGAGTGTCGTCCAAACGATGAGATCAATTGAAGTGACATTTTATATAATCAATAATTCAAACGTTTAATAGAAATTCAATTCAATTTTCTATTTGAATGACAAAAGTGTTTAATAATTGTCGAAAAGCTCGAGAGATATGACACGAGAGACACATCTCTATTGCAAATGAATTCAATTTTTGTTAACAGTATTGAAACCGATTTTTTCAAATTTAACTTTTATTACAACTTTTTAGACATTAGTTTTAGACCAAACTCTAACCGCAAAACTCACTCTTACTTTGCATTTACTGTTAATTCACACAAAAATACAGTTTTTTATTTGCTTTTACAATGTCTTCGGATAAAGATATCGCTGAGAACCAGAGCTGGACTTT